CAGATAATGGCACACGGACGCACGCACGCACGCGTGCGTATACACGCGGACATATATAAATGCTGTGGTCCGATGTGCCACTCTCGCCGTTTGTGTGCATAGATGACCGCAAATAATTATTTGCTACGTTACAAGTCAATATCCAATATCAAGGCATGGCAGTCCGGTATTTTCCGATCTTTTGTTTCATTATTTTATTCATTCTCTGCATCACATGATGAGCTTGCTTAACTAAGTAGTGTCTGCACAAAGTAGTTATGTATCTGAGCATAATAAAAATGAATCAAAATCGGTTTCTTTTGTATGTGTTATTCTAGTATAATTTATGTTAGTAGCGCGCTTACCTTTCGCCCTAGATTCGTCGAAATTTCCCCGGGAAGCTATAGTAGAGTGTGTAACTAAGAATATAGTATATATATATAATCATTAGTCATCAGTACTATCTCTATAGAGAATCTTCATGCATGTATTCCGGATACTTTGTATACTCAACAGGGCCGAGACCACGGGTGATCTAGGAAGTCGGCAGTGCCTTATAGATTTTCTAGGAATCTATGCTTAACAAATGTAAAATAACACTAAAACAAATGCAATAATTGATATAAAAATATTATTGCGTTGCTCCCAACTTACCCTGGGTGGCCGACGGTTTTTTAAAAACGTTTATTTACGAATTTATTATTAAACAACACCGCCAAAATTGCTACAATGCACAGTGACAAGTGCACCCGATGCATATACTTGTTTGCTACTAACATCTGTTATGACGCTATACAGTTACCTAATCCTGCCTGGCATGTAGTTGGTATTTACCTGTGTATATATATCTCTGTTGTTTAATGTGCAGATATCGATGTGGTGAAGAGAAAGCATTAGAGAGAATTATATGGACTAGCAGAAAGTATACCCGTAGAACCAGCAAATGTTGTCTTTAAATATAAACTCCATGTAAGTGACTACAGATAAAGTTAATATTTCATGTGAACTGAAAAGAAAACGCACATGCATGGGTACAACAGAAAATGGCAGGCAGCTAGCTGGACACTGACTACTGTGTAGTTACGGTGTAAAAGGCGTGCAAAAGCAGAGCTGAGCAGGGGGAATCATGGCAGTAGGGGGGGGGATCTGAGACGTAGCGACGCATCTATTGAGAGAATAGAATTTTTTGTTTGAGCCGAGAACCATCCTCCCAGACGTGGTGGATTCTGATATGCTCATGACGGCGGCAGTCAAGAGACGGCAGTGTAATCGGACCGTCACGTATGTGATGTGGATCTGGCTGTACGCACTGCATCACTATTGACGAATAGGCAATTTTTTTCGAATTTTTGATTTAATACTCTAATGACTTCACTTTTTAATCTTTTTTCTCAGCAGAACTGGCAGAGAACATCTCCAGACGTGGTGATTCTGAATATATCTTCAGTTAGCGCGATTGAGTGAATCAGCGGCGAAAAGCGAACACAATAACAAGACCAGGCCACCACAGCACACACACAAGATTGGCAAATTATAGTATAGAGTGGTAAACAGCAGAGGCAATGAGCGAAGACTAAGAGAGAGAGAGAGAAGCGAGAAAGAGATAGCAGCGAGAAGAGAAGAGCCGAGAGAGAGAGGAAAAGGCGGCAGAGATGGAAAAGCAGAGAAAGAGAAATAGAGTTTTGTGACAGATTAGAAAAAGTGTGTGTGTGTGTGTGTGGTGTGTGTGTGTGTGTGTGTGTGGATGCGTGTGGCTGTGAGAGAGAGAAAGAGAGAGAGAGAGAGGAGATTGAGGAAGAGAGGAGAGAGACACTACATAGAGAGAGAGAGAGAGAGAGAGAAGAGAGAGAGAGAAGAGAGAGAGAAGAAGAGAGAGAGAGAGAGAGAGAGAAGAGAGAAAGAGAAGGAGAGAGACACAGCAGATAGAGAGAGTAGAGAGAGAGAGGAGAGAGGAGAAAAAGAGAGAGGTAGAGAGAGAGAGAGAGAGTGAGAGAGAGGGAGAGAGAGAGAGGAAATGTGAGTAGGTCGGCATTGACCGTTATTGGACTGTCGGCACTCATCCATTTTTATAAACAAGCTTTCTAAGCAGTTACTTCTTAGGACAGTGAGACTGCGACGTCTGAGCCACATGAGCGTCACGCATACGCAATACAACTGAGCGAAGCAAAGGATCCGTCCGTCTCAGAAGAAGCGCTATTAAAGTAGTCTGTTTCAACTGCCGTAACATCGTATTCATTCTGCTCTGGGCGCTTGTACTGCTGCTATCTCAGCAGCAAGTTCGTAACAATCGGCGACGATGCATCTACATGACATTTGTACATGTTTTAGATATTATTTCTGTTACGCTCACGTGGGGACACTGCTCGAATCATTAAAACGGGGATTTATTTTGAAAAATCCAGACTACATGAGAGAGTATAGTGCTCTAATGTTGAAGAGTATTCACGAAGGTACTTACTTGGTGTTACAGATCACTGAGACGTTGTTACATATAGTATGTCTTCGTGGAACGAGTGTGTTGTTTCTTTGTCCAATATTTCGGTGTATTTAAGTCATGAGGATCTTGTTGCTTGCACGAGATAGAGGCGCTGTGTTTTTCCAACACAGCAAAGTGCTCTAAATGAACGGCGAAATCTGACGAAGATATTTAAGGCATGTACGAGCTTATACCAGTAATAATTTCTAAAAGAAATAGCCTTTTATTTTTATTTGTCTGCAAATCTAGTAGGAGTATTCATACAATGTTACACATGGTTAATATTCATAGTAAGGTTAAAAACGTGGAGAGTATTTAGTTTTAGATCCTTGGAGGGATGCATGTTCATGAAAATGCTAATATGTTCCTTAATAATAATAAAATATAAATATTAAATATGATAAATCGACTTATAATTAATTAAATAATGGATCTATATCTAATTTATATGAGGCACGAGAAGCTAACCGGATGCACAACTAGCGCGGGCACCGACACCATGCAACGCCACGGCGCGGCCCTCGGTACACAAACACACAACAAGCATGTGTCCACCACACACAGCCAGCCACCACACACACCACACACACACACACACACAAACCAACACACAACACACACACACAACACACACGACACACAGTGACACAACACACGACACCACCACCACACCACACCACACAACACAGCACACACACACAAACAACGACACAAACCACACACACCACCACACACTCACACATCACACCAGCACACACACACAACACACACATATACCACCACACACACACACACACACCACACAGCACACACAGTCCACACACACACAACACACACATACACAGCCACAACACACTGCCCAAAGCACACACCAACACAACGCAGCCACACGACGGCGCGTTGTGAACCTACAACACATCGACGCAGCACACGGCAGCACACACACACGTGACAGCATGCACAACAACAAACCACACACACACACAGGCCCAGCAGCACACACAGCACAAAGCAACACACTACAGGCACACACACACACTGAGCATAGCAAGCAGCAACGCGGGCACCTACACATGCGGGGCATGCGGGCACCTACAGCGACGCGGGCACCTATACCCACAATCACGCGCGCATGCGCAGAGCATCGAGGACGCTTCCAAATACGAAATAGCCTTCGGCAAGGACATTGATTAGCGGCCGCCGTTTCTGTCTCTCGCAGGCAAGCCGGCCATGTTATTTAACATTGCTTTGTACGTGCCGGCCGTGGACACAGTACGACAGCTCGGCTCGCGATGGCATGGAGTGTGGATGTTATTCTAACGCCGTCCCCAAATCAGGACAGGCATTAGGCGAGATTGAAGCCAGCGGGAATTTATTTTTGTGGAAAAATACAGAGAATGTTTGTCGGTAACACATGAATGGGAGGCGACTAAAGGGCGGGAGCCGCTGGGGCCCGGCACGATGATGCAAAAATATTTGCGGTTGGTATGAGGGGCAGCGGGCAACACAATTATGACGCCTACTTTATACCGTAGGGCACTAATTTATATATAGCTTTATAACACGATCGCGCAGGTTAAACTGTGGCCATTATGATTGGCCTTATAAGCAAGAAGAACGCGGCGGGATGGCAGACGTCCCATACGCTCGCATAAAGAAATATCTGGCGTGTAGAGGCAGACGTTTGCGGTGGGAGGGGGGGGGTACACTGGGTACAACACATCATTGGCAAAATCGCGTTTTCGCTTTCTCGTCTTCCTCCTCTGCCTTCTGTTTTCCCCTCATCCCTCTCTCTCTGCCTTCTCTCTCGCTCTCTCCTCTTCTCTCCCTCTTTCCCACCTCTCATCATCCATATCATCTCCTCGTTCGCGCTCTCTTTCTCTCTTTCATGCTTTCTTTCTCTCTCATCACACACCAAGCGGTAAATACAAGCATATAACCGAGACATCGCATACATACAGCAGCGCACACACAAACACACACACACACATACACACCACACACACACACACACACACACACACACAACACACGGCAGCGGACATCGCACACAGCACACACACACAGCAACAATGCCACATAGGACACACACACACACGACACACAAACACACACACACTCAGCTTATGAGAGAGAGAGAGAGAGAAGAGAGAGAGAGAGAGAGAGAGAGAGAGAGAGAGAGAGAGAGAGAGAGAGAGAGAGAGACTCTCTAGCGCGCGCTCTGTTTGTTCCGCTCTCCCTCCTGTCATTTTTTTCGCCATCTTTACGTTTTTTGTCGTCCACGCACCATTCGCGTTTTCTTGCCTACCTAATTCTTCCTCTGTTTCTACCACTCTCTCTCATTCGCTAGCTGTCTCTCACTCCAGCGCCCTCCTCGATTCTCCCCCCTCTTCCTTCTCCGCTTGATTCTATACATAGTTTCTGTCCCTCTCTCACTCTCTCATTTCCCAAAATTGTACATCTACTTCTTTCTTTCTCTCGTTGACTCTCACTGTCCCTCTTCGTTTCACGTACTCGCCCTCTTTCTGACTTTCTTTCTCTCTCT